TCACTACACCCCAATAACATTCCTTACATAGAACATTACAGTTTTTTTCTTTGCAGGATGAACTATTCCCCTTAGTTTGCATTATCTTGTTTTGTGAAAGTTTTGTAGATTTTACCTTGAACCTTAGAGAATTGGTCATGATTATATTGAAAAAAAATATAGCACATTATTCTTATGCAAGTCTCCACGACTGGCTATTTTTGTTCTGAGTTTTCAACAGGAACAAGTAAATACTGCAGGATGAGTTATTTTTAAAGGTTTTTAAATAGTGTTTGTTATTTCAAGACATTATCGAGTAAAACTTCTTAGAAAATACTGGTCAGTTGTGTTTATTGCCTTGTGTCAACACGCTTGTCATTTTGAGAAAGTGTCATAATCCTAGAAGAAGATGGTTTGCACTCCTTGAGTCAGATTCTAATCTGAGAATTGTTCTGTGTATCTCTCAAAGGATCTGTGGCTGCACATCTGTAAGCATGTTGCCTTTCATAGCAGAGTGCATGTGTGTTGGGAAAGCTTAGGTTCTTTTCTTCAGCAATGCAATCTCAAATTGGATAGCTAATATAAGAAAATGGAAGGGTCCTTATCCACCTGTATTTTTTTTTCCTTTTTTCTTTTCCATAGTCTTTACATAGATGATGAATTTAGGGTAATCCAGTTATACTGAAGAGTATGGACTGAACACAGACAGCTAGATTCCAGGCCTGGACTTGCTCACAAGCAGCTATTAGACTGAATGTAAACTTCTGAGCCTCGGTGTTCTCATTTTGTGAAATGAGAGGGCTGCGAACTGGTGGCTCATGGCTTAAATCTAGTGTGCACAGGTGTTTTATTTGGGCTCCATATTGTTTTTAAAAAGCCAGGAAATTTTACATAAGATTTCTAGTATCTCTTAACAAATGGGAAGATCTGGCAACATGAGGCCTGCATTCTCAAATAGCAGCAATTTCCTGGGCCCTGTAGGTTCCTTAGTTTGCTATCCTTGCAGTTGACTGGCTTTTGTTCTCTTGATCTACAATGGCATGACTCTTTGGGTTTTGTTTCAAGGAACATTGTGGGAAAAGTTTAGTTCCTCGTAAAATTCACTAGACATGTTAATTTTGTTTCTGCCTTACTAGGTCTTAGTTTTCCTCTGGTTCCTTTCTGACCTCACATTCTTACAAAGGATATAGCACTCCACCTGTGCATGGCCTGTTCTACCTGTGTATGACCTGTCCTTCTCTGTCCCCTCTTTAGGAGCAATGGTGGGGGAATAATCTTGGCTTTATTTTTATTTATTTATTTTTGCTGAGGAAGATTTGCCCTGAGCTAACATCTGTTGCCAATCTTCCCCTTTTTTGCTGAGGAAGATTCACCTTGAGCTAACATCTGTCACCAGTCTTCCTCTATTTTGTGTGGTCTGCCACCACAAGGCCACTGACAAGTGGTGTATGTCCATGCCCGGGAACCTAACTCCGGCCACCAAAGTGGAGCGTGCCGAACTCAACCACTAGGCCACCAGAGGTGGCTCACCTTGGCTTTATTTTTCATATCTCCATTTAACTTTTCTCCTTCCATAATTTTACTTCCAGATAGATAATGTAAAATAATTTATCATCGCTTCTGTAGAAATTAGAGAAACAATGACTTTCCACTCATGAAATCTAGAAAGTATGTGGAACTGAGAATAGAATAGTAAATCTCACTTTCTGAAGCTGTGCTTGTTCACATTTTTTGGTTATCACACTGTATCTAATAAGATTCTTGCAAAACAATACTATGCATGCAACGATTCTCCTATAACTCTCTTTGGAGACAGAGCCCAGCTGCTGTGGTGAGGGTTAGCTGCTTCTTATGGCTTGGGATCATCTTTCATTCAAAGTCACAGATGGTAGTATATCCTTCTCACCACAAGATCTGATATAAGCTTTGGTCAGGCGAAGGAAGAATGTATGACCATGGAGAGTTTCTTCAAGCATTATATCTGTGAATCATGTCCAACTGTCATGTATCTTCAGCTGAATCCCCATCCTGGATTCTTGGAGAGAATCAATATAGTCAATAAAAATCCAGGGTGGTAAAATAACCTTGGATCTATGAGGTGGGGAGGAGAATGATCAATAAAGGAAGTTATTTCTCATTGATTTATTAAGAATTGAATTTGTGTAGAAAAAATGTAACTACTAACATTAGAGAGATGATTTAGAGAAAGACAATAGCTATTTGCTAAAATAAAGCATTGGTTTCTTTTTTTTTTTTTTTTAAAGTTTTTATTTATTTTATTTTTTCCCCCCAAAGCCCCAGTGGATAGTTGTGTGTCGTAGCTGCACATCCTTCTAGTTGCTGCATGTGGGACTCGGCCTCAGG